CTCTGCAGCCCGCGGGGCACTCCCGCCCGCGCGCGGCGTTTTCCAGAGCTTCCAGTGCTTTTATCCCCAGTTCGCCCCGGAGTGTGCCCGAACCCCCGCGTTCAGCTCTGCGTGCTGTCGGTGCCGCTCGGGACAGGCTCTGCGGGGCTGTGAGGTTGGGTGTTCTCCCAGTGACATGTCTAGATTTGGGGTTGGTTTGGGGGTTTGTTTGAAGCAACTCAGCGCCAGGCTGCATCGGGCTTGGAGCAGCCTGGGCTAGTGGAAGGGGGCCCTGCCTATGGCACAGGGTGGAACTGGATGGACTTTAAGGTCCCTTCCAGCCCGAACCATTCCAGGGCTCTATAAAAGTAATGCTAGAGGGTTTCCCTTATCTCCCGGGAATGAGCCAGCACGCTCCTTGCCACGGAAGGGAGGTGGCTTCTCATTATAAACCCACTTGTCTCCAAGCTGTCACTGCCCAGCCCACAGCCTGCTCTGTCCAGCAGAGCCACAGCCTTCCCCTGAATGTCTCTGGGCTGTATGGAGCAACTCCTGAGTCCTGCTGTGCCTGTGGTAATCTCTGTGCTGTTTCCCTGTTCCCGGAGGTGGAATAAACACCAGTTCCCAACTGTGTGTCCGTACAGGACTGAGCCCCATGGATGTGCTGCTCTATTTGAAGCAGTATCCGTGTGAATTAAAGTTATGGAGGAGCTGTTTGTATGGAGTGGACTTGCTCTCCAGGATCCTGGTGGTTGCCTGGGAGGGATCTGTGGAAAAACAAGACTTATTTTCAATAGCTGCACTAACTTGGGGGTTTATCTCTGTGCAGAAAGAGCTGGTAATAAATATTTTTGGGTTTTTTTGACATTTAGCTGTGTGGTTGGAACTGCTGCAGAGGCTCTGCCCAGTCAGGCTCTGTGTGCCAGGCTTAGCTGTGATTGCAGCCAGACCATGCATGTCACAGCCCACTTAGGGAAACACCTGGAATCACCTGGAATAGGTGTAGGCTTCAGGTAAGCCAAAGGGTCAAATATCCTCTGTGAGGGAGTACAGGGAAGTGACAATTACAGATACTGAGAAACTGCAACTCTTTGGCAAAGGTTTAAAGTGCAGAACGAAAAGTTGCTGGAGCCTCACAGGTGAGTTTACCTGTCCTGGTCCTGTTGGACACAAACCCCCAAATTCCTGACTGCTAGAAGGGAAGAAAGATCCCAGCTCTTTCCTCTCCACTGTGTGATTCCTGGAGTTTTGCTGTGTTGCTTGGGATGAAGTTGGAAATTAGTGCTTCTCCTCATCCATCACTTCTACAAGTTGATCTCTTTTGGGCAATGTTTATAGTTCATAAGCTTTAAAACACCACTGAGCACTGATCTGCTCTGTCGTAGCAGATCCTACAGCCACAAGTGCTTACATTCTCGCCTGTTTTTGGTAAAATCCTGCTGATTCCTGGTAGGTTGGTGTGACCAGGCTGGTTTTGTTTCCTCAGCAATTGATGAGTACAAGCCCCTGGATGCCACCACGAACCCCTCCCTGATCCTGGCTGCAGCTCAGATGCCAGTGTACCAGAAACTTGTGGATGATGCTGTTGCCTATGGGAAGAAGCTTGGTGGGTAAGTAAAGGTTTTAATCTCAGCACACCTATATTTAAAAGGCCTTATTTATACAAACAGTGGTTAGCACTACTAGCAGTGTGCTGGGGTTTCCCCTCCATGCACTTGTGGTGTATCTGCTGCCCCAAAAAAGCCTCAGCCCCTGAAGAAAAATTCCTTGTGCTCATTCCTGATGTGCTGTGGAAAAGTGCATCCCCACTCACCAGCTCACACATGGCCCTTCCTTGCTCAGGGAAACAACAGCTTTAAAGGAAATGGTGTCCAAAGGCTAATCCTGCTGTGGTGCAGAGAGGGCAGGACACAAGCAGTAGTGGCTCACTTGAACTCTGGAATTTAATGTTAAACAGGCTGTGAAATTTGATCTTCAAAGCCATGGCAAAGAGTAAATGTACTTTTTTCCCCCTCCATAGGAATGATTTTGTTCTTTGTCATTTCCAGGTCAGAAGAGGAACAGATCAAAAATGCTTCTGACAAACTGTTTGTGTTGTTTGGAGCTGAGATCCTGAAGAGGATACCTGGGCGTGTGTCCACAGAAGTAGATGCAAGGTTGGCCCTTTTTCCTCTGAGTTACATACAAAAAGAGACTTGATGGGAGTTGGAGAAAGATGTTCTTGCCTAGAAGACAATCCGGATTGATACTGTTCATATTTGTTCAATCAGAGTCTGGATTTCCCTGTTGGATTAGAACTCTGTGACAAAACCTAATGACAAGAAGTCACACTGACCTTGGGTTTTTGTCATCTTCCTGTTATTTCTTAAAGGAAACCTCATGTTTCCAGTCCACTTAGCTTTGCTCATTCTGTGAGATAATATCATCTCAATTTAGCAAGAGATCTGTTGGGACAGTTGACTTCAAGACTTGCACAGGGTTTGTCTGTTAATCTGCTCATTGCTTCTGCATTCAGCATGGAAAACTCCAAGGGCTCCCAGTCCAGCAGGGACCTGAGAACAAAGCTAATAAATGCTGATAAAACAGGACAACGTTTTTGCATGGGATTTGGGGGAGAGCACTTAAAAAAATTCTGAGTTTGAATCAGTCCTGCTCTTGTCTCAAAGGTTGTCCTTTGATAAGGAAGGAATGATCCAAAGGGCCAGGCGCCTGATCGACCTTTACAAGGAAGCAGGAATTGGTAAAGATCGGATTCTCATCAAGCTCTCTTCAACCTGGGAAGGAATCCAGGCTGGCAAGTGAGTGTTTTTGTGTGCCTGTTGTGCTGATTCATGACATGATTCTGCCTGTCCACAAGTGCATCCTGCACTTAAATAAACACCAGCTTTGAAAGCAAGGCATGAGGAAGTCTGGCCCTGGCAGGGAAGGTGCTTCTGCCACGGCTTTCTGTTGAAATAGGAAAAGTTTGTTCATACAAGAGCCAGGCCACAGTTTCCTGAAATATCCTGCTAAGTTGTCTGCATTTGGCTCAAGAAAGCAGAGTTTGGCAGCACAGAACATTTGCTGTTGGCTTAAAACCTTAAAGTTCATCAACCGTGCCACATTCCTAAATCAAACCAAGGAATTCAGTGGTTTGAACCCACCAGCTTGTCACTGGGATATAAATGCAGTTGGGTGAGCAAACTGCTGTTCTAAGCCAGGCTGTGCCCACAGGGTTCTGGAGGCAGAGCATGGGATTCACTGCAACATGACCCTGCTGTTCTCCTTTGCTCAGGCTGTTGCCTGTGCTGAAGCTGGAGTTACTCTCATTTCCCCCTTCGTGGGAAGGATCCTGGATTGGTATGTTGCAAATGGAGACAAGAAAACCTATGAGCCTTCAGAGGACCCAGGTGAGCACATACTTAACATAGTAAAAAGAGAACAGATACTTAAACAGTTGGATGAATCTTACATAAAAACATTTACTTTGGGCATGTTCTGAATAACCATTTGGAATTATTCTCAAAGCTGCTGGTTTCTCCTTTCCAGGAGTGAAGAGTGTCACCAAGATCTACAACTACTACAAGAAGTTTGGCTACAAGACCATTGTGATGGGAGCATCCTTCCGCAACACGGGAGAGATCAAAGCCCTCACAGGCTGTGACTATCTCACCATCTCCCCCAAACTCTTGGCAGAGCTCAGCAAAGAGCATGTCAAGTTGACTCCCACACTCAGTGTCAAAGAGGGTAAGTTACCTCCAGGCTTGCTGCGTCTTCCTTTCTTCTTGAATGTTCAGAGTCTGGGGTTCCACTCAGTGCCGTGGTGCTTGTGCCATCCTGTTCTAGGGATAATCTGATTTCCTAAAGGAAATGTGTAGCCTCATTACAATACTGCTGCTACAGTTGCTGACTCATGTCTTCAGCAGGTCCCACTGAGCACTGACTGGGATTGCTATGGGTTTGGAATTCATTTCCATACTCTGCACCTCTCCCGAGGGGACACGCAGATCAAAGGGAAGTTTATCTTCCTGTGTTTGGGATGAAAGTTACTGGATATTAGCAAAGATGCCAAACTTGTTTGAATCTTAATCTCTAGACGTGCCAAAAGGTGTTTTTCCTCCAGAAATTTGAAACGAATCATACACAAGGCTGATCTGATCTAGTGCCACTGTGCCACAATGGCTTTGAATCCTTGTTCCCACTGCACTGCTTCACATTGGACAGGGCTTGGAGCAACCTGGACTAGTGGAAGGTGTTCCTGCCCATGGCAGGGGGTCGAATTGGATCATCTTTAAGGTCCCTTCCAATCCAAACCATTCCAGGATTCTATGATAACTCTTCCATAGCCTTATTAAATGCTGCTTTACCTCCCAGAAAACAACTCTGAGCCCAGCTGCAGCTCTGGGGTGCTGCCCCAGGGTGGTGGCTGGGCTGCAGGCCTGCAATCAAGTGAGCTTTTGTTAGCTCTTGCCAAACAATCAAAGCCCTAATTGTTCAGAATATTTGCTTACAATGTCTCACTGCTGCTGCAGGACTGTTGCATAATTCTTCAGACTCAGCCTGGAAGTGCTGTGCCATTCAGCAGCAGGTACAAGGCTATGGCACACACAGAAACATTGTGTTTGAGGAAGCCTGAATTTGGTAATCGTCTGATAATCTGTTTCTTTTTGCACTCCCATGGCACAGCCCAGGCCTGTGAGCTGGAGAAGATCCACCTGGATGAGAAGGCATTTCGCTGGCACCATAATGAAGACCAAATGGCTGTGGAGAAACTATCTGATGGGATCCGGAAATTTGCTGCAGATGCAGTTAAGCTGGAGAGGATGTTAAAGGTAGATGTTGCATCATGCTTCTCCCAGGGCAGGAGCTGCATCTCCTTGTGGTGTGGCTGAGGATTAAGCAAGTTTGGTCAGGTTCTAGTATATGTTATGTGGGACAAGTCACCTAAAATCAGTGAACTTAATAAACTTAAGAGAAGGAATTCATGCCAGGTGTGAGCCACACCTGCAGTGAGGCCCCAGGCAGGGCTGGGACTGGCAGCTGAGCAAGGTAACACCAAGGTCAAAGTGAGGAGTCTCCCGACTCTCTAAACTCCTCAGCTATCAGCAGGGCTAGAAAACACAATGTGCAGATAGTGATCTGGAAATAAATCATGTTTGTACCTAGAGGCACCAAGAGACCTTCTGAGTAAAGTCAAGTCTGTCAGTTCATGGACAGGCTTCCATATGGGATTAACTGACCTGTGTGGGTTTGGGAGGGGGAAATACATACTGAATATACCTCACCTTAGCACTTGGTGACTTCTTACTGTTCCCAAACTCTGACCCAGCTGCTCTCTGTTTGTTCTCTTTTTGTAGGAGCGAATGTTCAGCGCTGAAAACGGGAAGTAAACCAAAATCAGCATTTCCCTGAGTGCTCCAGGGCTGGCTGAGTGGATCACCTGAGGTTCAGTGGATGTACAAATGTCTTTCCTGTACAAGTATCATGCTGTGTATGATTAGATTTCTGTACCATGCTTTTTTTTTATCAATTTGCAAAGGGACGAATAGAATTTTGTGGCACTTTTGTCAATATACGCAAATTAACACAGACTTGGCCTTGTGTTCAATTCACTGCTGCAGGAGACACCTGAGAGGATTTTAAATTAGCTTTTTATATTAAATTCCTAATTTAAGACTGTAGACTTACACATTTAGGAAAGGAGTTTTGTCTTTCAGCCTGTTTTAAAGAGAAAACAAATTTGAGACATATATGAAAATATGTAACTAATTTATATAGGTCCAGTTCTATCAACAGTAGACAAGAGCAAGCAATAGGACAAGGACATGGCCTCAAGCTGTGCCAGTGGAGGTTTAGGCTGGATATTAGGGAATATTTCTCCATGGAAAGGGGTGTCAAGCAGTCTGCCCAGGAAATCACCATCCCTGAAAATGTGGATGTGGCACTTGAGGACACAGTCTAGTGGTGAACATGGTGGTGGTGTGAGGACTTGATCTTGAAGGTCTTTTCCAACCTTCATTCCATGATTCTAGGAGTTAGTGGCTCCAAATTTGTCAGCCTGATTTCTAAAGGTGACATAACCCAACCCACCATCCAGATCCACCTTGCAAAGCTGCTGGCACACACATCACCTCTCCAGCTACCTGCTGCTGCATCACACTTCTCCCTCAGTTTTCCAAGAGCAACTTCACTGCTGAGGAGATAGAAATGGATGTGTGATGGGAAACAGGGAAAATACACAACAAAACTCCTCTCTTTTTTGCTCCCATTTGGGAGGTACAAAGAAGCATCACTCAATCTCCAGGCAGGGTACTTTGTCCATCAGTTTAATTTCCCAAAAGAGGCACAAAGCCGTTCCAGTAAGTCCTGGATGCCACAAAATAAGGAAGAACAGTACAGGGAATTGATCAAATCCCGAGGTCCTTTCAAAGCACTGCAGAAATGTTGCCAGCAATTCCAGGAGGGAAGGAAAAATGTGAATTTATCTATTTTTCCAACAGATTTAGTAGGTTTGAGCCTGTAACAGTGAAAAAATATTCTCAGTGTGATTATTCCTTTCCATGCCCAACTTCAAGCCACACCTGCTGCTCAGAAGGAAGGAGAAGGTCACATTCCACCTCACAGTTGGCTCCTCAGACATGATTCACATTGGCTGCCTACACATTCTTAGTTCCTTAAGTCCATAAAATCCCAAGAAGAGACAGTAGTAATGTACTTCCAGAGGGAAATGGTTTGAAGAGAACAAAAATCTCAACATACGCGGCACAAAGAAGAACAAATGAGCAGTTGTAAGGGCATGTAAAAACAGCTGAGCAAACTCTTGAAACACAATTCCAACGATGTGAACAGGCAAGGAGGGAAACAAGGGCACATTGTGCATCTGTATAATGTCAGCCTAGAGCAAGGGCTGCAGCCTCAGCAGTTTGTGTTCACAGCACCAACTCTTGGGTTTCTTAGGAAGAAAGTTCCCCACATCTGTAAACTGAGGGTCCAGAGCAGCAGTGAGGAAATGAAGCAGCAAAAATGCAAGGGAATGTCACAGCTGGTTCTGACAACCTTCATCCATTCTATACACATAAAGCCACTTAAGTGTCACAGTCACTTCACAGTCCAGGACAGGGATTTACAGGGATTTGAACATCCAAGGAAATCCTTAGCCTGTTGGCTCTTCATCCAT